ATCACTGTGAGCAATGATGTGGGTGCTGGGAACTGGGTCATCTGGAAGAGCAGCCGATGAAACCACTGAGCCATCTCTCTCAAGCTCCTCCCCTTGAACTTGTGATTCTCTTGCCTCTGCCTGCTGAACACCTGGGGTTACAGACTCCAGGCCCAACTAAGAGCCCCAGTGCAGATGAATACAATTTGCCTATTAAATTCGCCTCCTTTGGGGCACAAATACATATCTGGAATGCAAGATGAAAATGCTTACTTTTTCACTCCCACAGTGATGAGAAAGAATCACTTAGCCAAGGAGAAAGACTATTTATATTTTAAAGTCAAGCTGTAATTCTTGAAAAACAGGAAACCACATATCAACATAGCCAACATAGTGTACCGTACTAGAAAGTACACCAGGCCCTGAGTCACAGAGTCAAGTTGTTCAACTTCAGCTCAGTTTCCTGATTTTAAAAGGGAAAATGTACTTCTGCTTAAGAGCTACAATTAGGTGTGCCGGATTGCCTGCCAGGGCAGTAGCACAGAAGTGCTCTAGGGGAGTGCACCAATAGCTCTTCTGCAGATCGAGGCTCAGCAGGCTGCAGGCTGGCACACCGAAGAGGTATCAGGACTGAACAAGAGGCTTCATAACATTATTTCCTTCAGGCTCCACTTGTCACAAAACTCTTCCAGTAGGAAAAAGTCACTCTAACAAGAAACACTTAGTCATGTTTAAAATGGGCCAGATAATTTAAGAATGTCAGCTGACTTTCCTCCCCTGGAGAATGCTCCTAAAGGAGAGCTGTCCTGAGGCAGGAAAGAGGAACTCATTAGCAGCAAACTCATTAGCAGCCATGATGGCCTTGTCACTCAGTCAAGACTATGATAACACACGTAAACACCAGAAGTTAAGGGGTTGGAGGGGTGGTGGCTGCAGGCATAGCTCATTTGGTAGAGTGTTTGCCTACTATGCACAGGTCCATGGTTCAATTCCAGGAACATGCACAGTTTGTGGCTAGCTACAGAAAACCCTACCACAAAACTGGAGAGAAGGGGGGGGGGTTGAGGACTGGGTTTAGCTGGTAAGGTGGTTGCTGGGCAAGCATGGGGACCTGCCTTCAAAGCCATGGACCCACATGTGCCTGTAATCCTAGCTCTGTGAGGGGTGAAGGCAGGTTGCTGGAGCTCACTGGGTGCCAGCTGAGCTCCAGACTGTGTTAGACCCTGTTCTCGAGGGAATAAGGCAGGAGTGGTAGCACAGGACATGTGACTTCCTCCTCTGGCCTGTACACACACACACAGGTGTTCACACACACATACACGAGTTAACCATATCCATTAATAAAATACCCGCACCGCCGGGCGTTGGTGGCGCACGCCTTTAATCCTAGCACTTGGGAGGCAGAGGCAGGCAGATCTCTGTGAGTTCGAGGCCAGCCTGGTCTACAGAGTGAGTACCAGGACAGCCTCCAAAGCCACAGAGAAACCCTGTCTCGAAAAAACCAAAAAAAATAAAAAAATAAAAAAATAAATATAAAAATAAAATACCCGCACTTATTAAGAATTACACATTTCATATTTATTTCCATGCTACTTACAAGTAAGTCACATTTACATAATTAATTTTAATACAATCCAAGATTCAAGTCCCCAGTTCCCCAGGTGGATCTCTGAGTTCTGGACCAGCCTGGTCTACAGAGTGAGTTTCGAGACAGCAAGAGCTGTTATACAAAGGAACCCTATCTCAAAGAACCTTTTTGGGGGGGATGCCCTCAGAGGCCTGGGGTGGGGGCATGAAAGATACCATGGAGCTAGAGTTATGTGGTCAATGGGAACTAAATCCAGGTCCACTGGAAGAACAGTAACTGCTCTTTACTACTGAGATCTCTTTCCAGCTCAGCTTTGGAAATATAGGGCTATTTCAGGACTTGGATGTTAACATTCAACTAACTCCATGAGATTATGCAAATTTGATGAGAGAGCCTAGTATGGAATTCTTTCCACTTGTTTTTCAAAAATAATAAGAACAAGTTTCTTTTCAACAGTTTGATTTTAAACTGGCTATGTGGTGGTACACCCCAACAATCCTAGCACTTCCCAAGTTGAGGCAGACAGTTCTTGGGTTCCATACTAGTTTCATCCAGCTACATAGTAATAATCTGTCTGTGCTGGGTGGTGGTGGTGCACTCTTTTAAAACCAGTGCTTGGGAGGCAGAGACAGGTGGATCTCTGTGAGTCCGAGGCCAGCCTTGGTCTACAGAGTGAGTTCCAGCACAGGTTCCAAAGCTACACAGAGAAATCCTGTCTCAAAAAATTAAAAAAAAAAAGAAAGAAAAGAAAAGAATCTGTCTGGCTGAGGCTGGAGAGGAGATGGTTCAGTTGTTAAGAGCACTGACTGCTCTTGCAGGACCCAGTTCCCAGCATGTGCATGGGGAATTTGCAGCTTAACTCCAGTTCAGGGGCTCTGACACTATCCTCTGGCTTCTGCGGGTACCACATGCACATACTTACAGGTAAGCACTCACACACATAAAATAAACTCTTAAAAAAATCACTCGTCTGCAAATAACAAGAGACATAACTTATGTCTATAATCCCAGCTCTTGGGAAGCAGAGACAATATAGAGTTACAAGTCTATGTATCAAGTTCTAGGTCAGCCTGGACTATAGACCGAGACCATGTCTCAAAACACAAGGGAAGAAAGAACAATTTTCTATTCATGTTTTCAACATTGAAGACAGCAATTAACTGAACAAGTGTTTGGATAAATATGTACTGGTGTATGCTGGGTGTGTGGTCGTTCACACTTTGATTCCAGCACCTGGGAGGCAGAGGCAGGTGGATCTCTTTGAATTTCCAGCCTGGTGTACAGAGTGGGTTCCAAGATAGCCAGGACTACAGAGAAATCCTGTCAGGAAATAAAAAACAAAAAATAAAAAACAAAACAAAAAAATTGGTGTCTAACAAAAATGCAACTCATAAGTGTGTTTACCTTTTCTATGATTTGTTTTTATTTTATGTGCATTGGTGTTCTGCTTGCATGCCTGTGAGGGTGTTGAATTCCCTGGAATTGCAGTTGCAGATAGTTGTGGACTGCCATGTGGGTGCTGGGAATTGAACCTAGGTCCTCTGAAAGAGCAGCCCGTGCTTTTAGTCACTGAGTCATCTCCCCAACCCCAAATATATGTATATCTTAACTGAAGGTCTTCTAAAGCTAAGCTAGGGGTATAGTGCATGCTTGTAACCCCAGCAGAGGCTGAGGCAGGAGGATCACAAAGACTGCATAGTGAGATTCTTTGGGAAAAAAAAAAAAGCAAAACCCAGAAGGATGGAAAGGAGGTAGAGGATAAAGAACAGGAGTAACACCACTGCCGCCACCACCTGTTAGCTGAACCAGTGCTTGACAAAATTCAGTTAAACCAAGTAGGAAACAGAAGAAACAGCGGGTTCTGATACTGATTACCCCATAGCGGAACACTGGCTGGGGGGTGGGGGCAGCTTGTTAGGCATACAGTCAGGAAAGGAGTATTTAAAATAGCCTGGATTTATTCTGCTATATTATCTAACCTTTGAGTGGGTGATCTTTGCATCCTAACCGAAGACAACATGATTCATCAAAACTGTCTTTTTGCAAGGTCGAAGAGTTAGGCGAATGACCAAAGCCGAGGGTCCCATAGAAATGCACTTTCTGCACTGAATTGGCTTTGGAGGCTGTCCTGCAACTAGCTCTTGTAGACCAGGCTGGTCTCGAATTCACAGAGATTTTCCTGCCTCTGCCTTCCGAGTTCTGGGATTAAAGGCGTGTGCCACCACCTCCCGGCTGAGTAAAACAAATTAACGTCAAAATGTAACAGCCCAGCTTCTTTCTTCAGGCTGCAAAGAACCTGCTAGTCTCGCTTCCCCAGAATCAGCAAACTGGTGACATTTCAAAACTAAAAACAATCACGCCTGTCTAACACTCGGTCTTCGTCTGAGGCCCCCTCTTTGGCTCCTCTCATCCCAGTCTTTCTTTCCTAAGCCTGCCCTCCTCGGACACACTGGTTTCAAATGCGTTTCCCTGGCTTTAATTAGAATTTATCTTCCCTCTTCTCACCAGGATTGTTAGCTCTCCATTCTCCCCTCCCTTTATGCATGTTTATCTTCCCACACACAGTCAAGAAATCACCTTTAAATGAAGCAGGCGAGCCAACGAGAGTTTTCAATCTCTTGTGAATCTATTTCTAGAATACCCACTCACGGAATCCTTCCCACTAAAGATGAAAGGCGAGCTAAGGAAATACATTAGACAGAGGAAGCAAACACTCAAGCAGGGCCATATCTAGGTGTTTGTAAGCCGCAAGGAAGAACTTCAGGTTTTTTTTTCCCCCTTTGCGAGCCCCTTTCTAAGACCACGAGCCTGACGCCGCCTAGGTCTGAGAGAGCGCAGTTGCCCACCCCCACCTTGCAGGCATTTTGTATGACCTTGCCCTGAATCCTGCGCATAGCCCACTCCTAGGACTCCTCCAGTACCTCCTCCATTGCAGAGCTCAGAATTCTCACTTTGAAACTGTCCCAGGCAGCACTGCGTCTGCATCTCGGTTCATGGTTCCGCACTGAAGGTTTTCAATGTGCCAAGTTCCTCAGTGGCGGGTCATACCCCCCACGGCGAACCAACAGGATTAAAATTATCCCACCCTACCCTTCAAAAGAGTACAAAGCAAGGCAAATGGAACCGCCGGCAGTTAGGGCTTTCCGCCAGCTCTGTCTGGTTCGGACACACTCCCAACCTCCAAAGCCAAGGGTCTTAGGACGATTTGCATAACAGTATTGGTGGAGAAAACCCAAACGCAAGACGTTGGAAGGCCCCTCAGGACTTCGTTCATGGAAGTAGGGTTCCACATAGGAAGCGTACGATTGGTACTCTCGGACCGTCCCCCTCAAACTCACTAACCGAGTGATAAAGGATCAGTGACCCAGGACCCGGCACTGGAGAAAACAGTGGGGGTGGGGTGGTGGGTAGCGTCCAGAGAAACTGGCCAACCCTTATTCTTAAAAGGCAGTCTCCCTCCGTCCGGAACAGCAGTTCTCAGAAGTGCCTCCAACTTTCCCTGCCTGGAGGATGCTGACCACCGCCCCACACCTCCTCTCCATCACAATTAGAGGCGATGGGTAGGTACCACTAATCTCCTGCCAGATGCTGGGGGAAGGAGGGTCGGAAGAGGAGGAGGGAAGAACCTGGCTGTACTCAAGAAACTTCTGGGAGTCCTGTTACGCAACTCAGGGACCAGGCTCTAACAACGGGACATTTTCCCGCAGGGCGCGGGGCTCAAGGGAGCGAGGGTGGACGAACGACCTCTCAGGTCCTCGACCCCTGGGTTTCTGGAAGCTACCTGCAGCGGAACCGCAGACAGGAGCAGTGAGAGCCTGTCTTCTGCGCCCATTCTGCCGAAAGGTTCCCACTGGCAAAGTGGCAAGGCCGGCCTCGAGTTAGAGTGCGGGGCAGCCTGGCTGCGGAGAAGTTCGCGACTGCGGCGCCGGGGACCAGGAGGAACTCCCCCCCACCCCCAGGCCCCCAGCCCGGGGCACGCAGGACTCGGCTTACCTTCTACTTCCTTTGATCCTCCAGTCCTCGCTGGGGCGTCCTCGTCACCTCCCTTGACCTGTTGAGATGCAGGGACGCCAGTTCAGCTCTAGAGCTGAAGGGCTCGAGGGTGCAGCCGGCACTACGGTGCGTACAGGCTGCGGGCCGAGTGCACCCGGGCTCTGCCAGCTTCGGGCATCTGCCGCCCGGAGGCCCAGGCCACGCCCGCCGCACCAGACCACGCCCCTCGCTTCACCCCACCCCCCCCACCCGGTCCAGCTCCGCCCCGGTCCACGCCCTCCGGCCCGCGCCACCCTAAAGGCTAGGAACATCGCGGTCCTCCTGCGGAGACGCGAGTGGGAGGATCGTGGGGTGAGGGGTGGCTGCGGATCCGGAGAGAACGCGGCAGTGACTGCGCCGGCCGCGTGGGTGACCCTGCCCCAGGCTGCTGTGGGGACCCTAGAACCCTTTAGCTTGACAACCAGATTAAGCTCCGGGTCAAGTTGCGAGGGGAAGTGTCAAGGCGGCTTTTTGCAAGCTGTACAACTGAATAGGATTCCATGTCCTTTAATGGCGATAACAACTAGCATCTGGGAGCGATTTACAGGAACGGGCTCTTCACTCACAGGCCCAGTTCATCTTCTCAGCAACCTTCTTAAACAGATACACTGTTCCCATTTCTCAAATAATGAAACCGAAACTCTGCTCAATATCGCCGACCTGCCACAAAGTCACTTAGGAAAGCTGTGCTTCGGAGTTGCGCCTCAGGCTTTTTGCGCTCTGCCCGCTCAACCGCTGGGAATTCTAATGGATGTTCAGGACGCGGTGGTGCAGACCCACAGGAAGAAGGGTTCAGTTCCTTTAAGAGTCCTACTCTGAGCAAGCTAATCAGCTGTCCCCAATCCCGAACCTCACTTTCTTTCCTGAAAAAGTCAGGGTGTATGAAATGTCCTAGGACACGCCCCCGAGTGTTCTCTTTTTGAGACAGATTCCCACTAGGTAGCCCTGGTTGCCCTGAAATTCACTATGCGCCACTATGCCTGGCTACGTGTCTTTAATTATGAAAGTCAGCTGGGTGACAGGTGGTGGCGCACGCCTTTTATCCCAGCAGAGGCAGGCGCATCTCTGTGAGTTTTGAGACCAACCTGGTCTACAAAGCGAGTTCCAGGACAGCTCTGTTACACAGAGAAACCGGGTCTGGAAAAACAAAACAGGAAGGAAGGAAGGAAGGAAGGAAGGAAGGAAGGAAGGAAGGAAGGAAGGAAGGAGGGAGGGAGGGAGGGAGGGAGGGAGGGAGGGAGGGAGGGAGGGAGGGAGGAAGGAAGGAAGGAAGGAAAGAAGGAAGGAAGGAAGGAAGGAAGGAAGGAAGGCATCTTACTTAGATGTAACCCAGTGCCTATGGAAATAAATACAACCTATGAAAAAGAAATCCGATGTGCTGTGTCCTGCCCCCTCTTCCAATTAAGTGCTGTTTTGTCCCTCATGAGACCTTCACTGTTCATAAAATTGAAAACCGGATCGATAAATATTTGCATTTCCAAATTAAACACTTTATTGACTACTGCGCTTTAGTGCCCATGGATTGTTTTCCAAAACATAGGGAGTTCAGTTCAGTATCACAGTGCTTGCCTCTCGATTGTGTCCCCACGGTGACACTGTGTTAATTTACTTTACTGTGGAAATAATTTTAATGTCCCCGGTGAAGCAGCAGGGCTTTTGTTGTTGTCCCTAAATGTTTACTCATTTATCTGAAACACCTTCTCACATAGCTCAGGCAGAGCGGGACAGGAATCACCTCGGTATTTGGACCATTCTTACAATTTTCTAGTAGAAACGTATCTGATGAGTTTGTATGCCTTTTTTGTTGTATGCCTAATATATGTATTTTTCCTAATGTATATCTCATTGTAAAAGACCAGAGGGACATGATGTTGACACTGGAAGTTCAGTGTTTTGTTTGAAGTTGAGAGTGATGGAGATTTGTTTTGGAGAACAGTTTCTTCCACTTCTGTGATCTTCTGAAGGCTGTGTGCCATGAGTGGGACACACCATAACAAAGACAGCTTACAACAGCTCACAACAGATTCAGTGAAGAGGCAGGTATCCATGAGTTAGTGATCAGTGTCAGCACACACCTATGGTTTCCTCACTGATAACTGGGCAGTTTAGAAGTACTTAAATCAGGGCTGGTGAAATGTGTGAGCGGTAGAGAATGCTTTTTGTTATTCCAGCAGATCAGAGGATGGTTTGATACCCCTCACAGCATAGTGGGTGGGATCTACCTTCCTCTCTGCACTCAGGAGGCAGAGGCAGTCCTGGGATTAATCACATATGTCACCGTTTCCTGGCTTAGCTGGAAAAAGCACTATCCCACAGTAGACTACTTGAGTTTGACTTGGAGCCCAGGAATCCACATTAAAAAGCCAGATGCAGGGGTTGGAGAGAAGGCTCAGGATTAGGAGTGCTGACTACTCGCCCAGAGGACTAGGGTTCAGTTCCAAACACCCACATGGTAGTTTACAACCATCTGTAACTCCAGGTCCAGAGGATCTAGTGCCCTTTTCTGCCTTCCATAGATACTGCACATATGCAACACACAGGCCTAGAGGCAGGCAAAACACTAATGCACATAGCATAAAAATAAATAACTAAATCTCACAAAACAAAACTAGATGCCGTGGTAGGCACCTGTAATCCAGCATTCCCTCAAGGCAGAATGTGGAGATAGAAGAATTGCCTGGAAGCTCTCAGCACACAGGGCAGCAGCAGGTACAAAGGGGACCCTGCTTCAAGAAGCTGGAAGGCCAAGAGCCTGAAAGCTGTCCTGTGACCTCCACACTTGCATGCCCTCAGCCATACACATACACAAACACAAATAAAAACCATAACACGAATAAAAAAAGAACCCAGAGACTGATATTGGGGTTCAACCTGAAGATAATGGAGGCAAAGCAGTCGGCCACTAGCTCTTATCTCAAACTCAAGCTCAGGCATGAGCTCTTCATCAAGCTTCAAACTGCTGCCTCTTCTCAGTGTGGCCAGAGAATCCTGATACCAGTTTCCCTAAACAATGACAAACATCCATAACCTATTGAGTGACCAAAAACCACCCACTCCACCTCTTGGGAATGTGGGTGTTGTGTTTTTTTTTTAACTATTTATTTATTTTATTTTATTTGCATTGGTATAGAAGGTGTCAGATCCCCTGAAACCAGAGTTACAGACAGTTGTGAGCTGCCATGTGGGTGCTGGGAATTGAACCCGGGTCCTCTGGAAGAGCAAACCAGTGCTCTTAACCTCTGAGCCATCTCTCCAGCCCTGGGTGTTGTGTTCTTAAAGTTACTTCCTGCTGTGGGGTAGGGGGTGGCTGCATATTTAGGGGATCCTGAAAAGAAAATTTCGGGTTAACTGTCAAGCTGTATCTTTTTTTTTCTCGAGTCAGGGTTTCTCTGTGGCTTTGGAGGCTATCTTGGAACGAGCTCTCGTAGACCAGGCTGGTCTTGAACTCACAGAGATCCCCCTGCCTCTGCCTCCTGAGTGCTGGGATTAAAGGTGTGCACCACCACTGCCAGGCAAGCTGTATTGCTTTTTTGTCCAGTCTCTGCATAATGGAAAAGCACAGGGCTTGTCTCAAGTCCTGGATAGAGATCATTTCAGTTGGCCTCCTCAAAAAAGGTCTGAGCAGTTTGTAGTCCAAAGCCAATCTTTAGTTGGTGTTGTTCAGTTTAAAGCTGTTGTCATAGTCCTGGAAAAGTTGCTGTTATGGGGTTCCATCTTCTTTTGTTTGTTCATTTGTTAATTGTTTTGTTTTTCAAGACAGGGTTTCTCTGTGTCAACAGTTCTGGCTGTCCTGAAATTTACTTTGTAGATCAGGCTGGCCTCAAACTCACAATCCACCCATGTCTGCCTCCCAAGTGGTGGGATTAAAGGTGTGTGTGACCTCCACCCTGCTGGGATTCAGTCTTCTCTTTGGAGACTTCAGAGATTACATTATGGAAGATTATTCCCTTTTATGGTAATTTTTTCCTGGGTATTTCTCCCTTCTTCTTTGGATGCTTATTTGTTCAAAGGTCTTAAATTCCTCAAGATATTTATTTTCATTTTTCTGGAAAGACAAAAACAAAACCATTCCCCAACCCTAATTTTGGAGAGGTTCCTAATCTAATCCTTATCAAATTTGACCTATGGCTTCCCCTGAATTTTTTGTTTTAGTTTCTAAAACTTTTCTTTCATCCAGAACAATGTTTTTTTTTTCAATTGGCATTAGGTTATTTAATTATTCTGGGAAGGAATTTCATCCACAGTGGCAGGAAATGAATGAACCAGTTTTGGAATAGGGGCTTTCAATAGCTCCCTCTAGGCATTTCAATGGCAATACAATAGTCCTTAAATATTTGTTGTTCTTCTGTTCCATATCAGGTGGCTCTTCTGACATGAGATAAATATTTTTTATTTTTCTTTAACAAGCATGCTTAGGTTTAGAGAAGGAGAGAGTCACTCTCCAACTCCAAAGCCAGCTTTAATCTCTATTTGGACTGGGTCTACAAAAGAACCATTTGCACTATGTCTATATAGAAAAGCAGAAACAAACATTTGGGAAGATTTATGAAATTTTATCCTGTTGCAAATATGATACCAAAATAGACTAATTTACTCCTTTCCTTGGAATAATTTTTCTGCATTATTTGTCCCTTTTCTTTAGATGTCTCATTTGTCCAATGGTCTCTGGATTCCCTAGCTGTATCCTTTTATTCTCCCAAAAAGACAAAAATAAAACCTTTCCCTAACCCTAAATTTTTGGGTAGGTTCTCCTTTAGCAGGTTATATCTGATCAAATGGAAAACATTAGTTTTATATGTTAGATTAAATGGCCATGCTACTTGATGAACTATCATCTCTTCTAGTTAAGAGTTGCTTGTTCACATCGAATCTTTATCAATTTTGATGGTATCCATAGCTTTTTTTTTCACCTGTGGAAATAAAAGCAAAACCTCTTCCCCAACGTAACACATGTTCTGGCTTCCATTCAGAGGTCAAGACATCTTTAAAGTATACTGGCTGATTTAATTCTGTAGTTTTAGCCGGGCGTTGGTGGCACACGCCTTTAATCCCAGCACTCGGGAGGCAGAGGCAGGCAGATCTCTGTGAGTTTGAGGCCAGCCTGGTCTACAGAGTGAGTTCCAGGACAGCCTCCAAAACAATACAGAGAAACCCTGTCTCGAAAAACCAAAAAAAAAAAAAAAATTCTGTAGTTTTTTTCTATTATCCAGTGTTTCTTCTCGGCTGTTGTTCCTTTCTCATTAGCATTCAGAAAATTCAAAGTTAATAAAGCACCATGCAGTCTATTTCTGGGGTTCCTTATCATTCCTTTCTGTTTATTTAGCATACCCTCTAGAGTTTCGTTCCACTTGATCTTTCTTTAACTGCTTACCCTGTAGGATTGTGTGGTGTATCTGTAATATGCTTTATATTATAATGAGCAAAATACTGTTTTATTTTCTTAGAGGCATATGCTGGAGCATTGTGTTTCTTTATTTGTGCAGATATAACCATGATGGCCATGACTTCTAGCAAATGTGTAATTACCGAATCAGCCTTTTCTGAACTTAAAGCAGTTGCCCATTGGAAACCTGAATAGGTATCAATGATGTGGTGTACATATTTCAATTTTCCAAATTCTACAAAATGGAACACATCCATTTGCCAGATTTCATTCCTTTGAGTACCTTTTGGATTACTTCCTGCAGGTAGTGGACTTTGGTTGTAAAAAGAACAAGTAGGACATTTCCTCATAATTTCCTAGGTTTGTTGCCAAGTGATGGAAGTCCTTTTTCTAACCTTTGCTATTGACATGGTGTTTTTTTGTTTTAAGAAAATTCTGAGTCCTTTAGCACATTCCCTAGCAATAATTGATCAATTTCATTATTACCTTGTGCTAGAGGGTCTGGCAGACCTGTATGGAATCAGATGTGTGCAATGTGACATGACTCCTGTCCCTGACTATGTCTTGTAACTGAATAAATAATGAAGTCAATTCT